TAATTAGATAGAAATTGAAGGTAAAAACTTACACTCGGATGTTTACAAAAAATTATATTAGTTCATGACAACTAAATCATAAATAAAAGGTGATGTTATATGTATTAATTAACTATGATTTATAAGAGTTTATGAAGGCAATATGTCAGGTATAACTTACTATAAGAATATGTAAATTGCTAAAGAGGAAAAGGAAATGAGGTTGCTCTCTCTTAATAACAATGGTGCTTTATGCTGGAATACGAATTAAAAACATGATTAATTGTAAAGGATAAAGCAAAAATATGTTGTCATTGTAACCAGATCGGTTATTGTGGGGACTCCTTTGTAATTCAAGAGGAACTAATACGTGCTTTTTCTTTGCTATTTATTTCGATAAAATATTAGCTAAAAGAAGATTATACTAATTAACCTTTTGCTTTTGTGTTAACCAACAAAATCTTACCAATGTTTCAATTATTAATACTTAACCATTATTAAATACCATATGTTTTGCACATCATCTTAGTTAATAATTAAAAACTAGTCTTAAGGTGCGTACGCACAAAGCGTTTGTACCTCGTCTCAAGGAATACATTTTTTTATAAATAAAAAAAAGTCACATATACTTATTTTAAAAATTGTGTTTGAGTTTATTATAAATGTTAAGAAAAAAGTGTAAAATCATGAAAATGATGATTGTTGATCCTAAAGCTAACTCAATAAAGAAAGAAGCTCTTCCTCACAGAAGTTCTGAATATTCTAATGTTACTTCTATTAAACTATATTATTAATTGTAATTATAATTTTATCCAACATGACAACACTTATGAAGGGTAAAAGTTAGTCAACATCGCATTTTACGATTTTTTAAATAATAGTATATGTATAGTAGATAAACTAGACTTGTATATCTAAAAAAGCTTAGTGCGGACATTGATCCTTAAATCATATCCCATAAAAATTATGGTGAATTCAAAATTTTAAATATAAAATAAAATCTTAAATGTTTACATAATTTTTAACATAGATTTATTTGTTGAAGGAATAGTTTATTATGTAAAGCTATAAAACTAAAACTAAATATGTCGACCAACATTAACTCTGTGGCAATTAACTTCATATAAATTACTCCATTTTTTTTTTGTTCTTAGGCAGAGGCGGAGCTAGGATTTCAAACTTATGGGTTTAAAATTTTAAACATTTTAAGTTACTGGATTGTAAACATTAAATAATCAATAATTATTCAAGGCAAATACAGAGTTTAACCAAAGCTACTGGGTTTGCCGAACCAGTAGCCAGAACACTGGCTCCGCCCCTGTTCTTAGTTACCTTAAGTATTTTTTATTTTCTTGTTAGGTTTATTTTTATAACATCAGTAGTTATTGTCATAAATGTTGAGTATAATTTTCTCAAAATTCCATAATAAATAATGATAAAAATATATTTGGGTCATTAAATGAAAATTAAACTAAAAAATTTAAATTCTCAAATGATGTCAACTATAAACACTCATACTTAATAATATAAATTCTCAAATGATGTCAATTATAAACACCCATACTCAATATGTAGGCAGAGATCTCGTAAGAACACGTCATAGTTGTCAAATAATATTGTGACATTGGTGATTTTCATGAGCGCGAAAGCATCATAGTTTTAAACTTTAAAACTTCAGTGACTTTTAAAGATGTATGAACTACAAAGCAAAGCTAAATAGACATAAATTAAAATTTTCAACAATCAAAGTAAAGGAATAAAGAGACAACAATAATCCAACAAAATCAAACCATGAGGGAATTTTAATTGAGATGATATTACATATTTGTCGAGTATAGTTCGATAATAATGTGGATGTATATATAGCACATGTTATTCCTACTATTAATAAGTGGGAATGAGAGGTCCATCCGGTTGCAAGAGGTGGAGAGATTTGCAGCCGTATCCTATTTTTATGTCACCTTTTAACCTATACCCTGTTTTTAAAAACTATTGATTTCGTAACCAACTAACAAAAATTCCGTAATAATATGACCATTATACCCCTTCTAAAACATATAAAAGTCCATCTCTCCTCCGTATTCCCAGATTCAAATTCCAGATCTCCTCCGTATCTCCTCCATCAGTTCGTCTCTCCGGAGATCGCGTCTCGCATTCAAATTCCATATTCAAATTCAAATTCCAAATTCAAATTCAAATTCAAATACATTGTAAGTATTTTTTGAATTATATGTTTTCTTATTTGTTTGAGCAACTTCACTGATATGCTGAATTTGCAATTCTAAATCTGTTTGACGATGAATTCTAACATTCTAAGCTGAAGTTATTTAGTTAACGAGCTGAATAACACAACGAAGAAGAAATTATATTAAAACATTATATGATTATTGTAAATCTTCCGCATAGTTGCTGAAGTTTTTTTGTTAATAATTGAAAACTTTGGCATAGTTGCTTAAGTTTTTTAGTTATTACTTAAAAAACTTCAGCAGGCGGAGGCTGAAGTTTTGTCTCCTATACTGGCTAAATNGCAGGCGGAGCTGAAGTTTTGCTCCTATACTGGCTAAATTAAAATTTCATATTGCATGAAAAAACTCGGCCTAGGTGCTGAAGTTTTTTAGTTATTATTTAAAAACTTCAGCAAGAGGAGCTGAAGTTTTCCTCCTACACTGGCTAAATCAAAAAATTGTATTACACCAAAAACTTCGGCCTAGGTGCTGAAGTTTTTTAGTTATTATTTAAAAATTTCAGCAGGAGGAGCTGAAGTTTTCCTCCTTCGGCCTAGGTGCTGAAGTTTTTTAGTTATTATTTAAAAACTTCAGCAGGAGGAGCTGAAGTTTTCCTCCTACACTGGCTAAATTAAAAAATCGTATTACACCAAAAACTTCGGCCTAGGTGCTGAAGTTTTTTAGTTATTGTTTAAAAACTTCAGCAGGAGGAGCTGAAGTTTTGCTCCTACACTGGCTAAATTAAAATTTCATATTACATGAAAAAACTTCGGTTTAGGTGCTGAAGTTTTTTAGTTATAATTTAAAAACTTCAGCAGGAGGAGCTGAAGTTTTCCTCCTACACTGGCTAAATTAAAAAATCGTATTACACCAAAAACTTCGGTCTAGGTGCTGAAGTTCTTTAGTTATTGTTTAAAAACTTCAGCAGGAAGAGCTGAAGTTTTTTAGTTAATATTTAAGACTTAAGCCAGAAAAAACTAATTAACATAAACATAACAATAGAAAAAATGCACAAAAAACTAGCGACAAAAACTTAACATTTCATTAAATACTAAAATCATAAATTAACATAAATAACAAAATAGCAAAAATAACAAAAAGAAAAACTAATCGACCATATTATCATCATCGTCGTCGTTGTCATTGTCGTCGTCGTTCTCACTACCAGATGGACGAGCATCTTCATCAGCAAGATTATCAAATCTTGCATACATCAGAAGCGTATCGAGCTTGTGGTTGATTTCTTCGAGCTCCCTGTCATATTTGTCTATCACCTCATCCAGTTTTAATTCAAATGCCTCCATAATGTCTTGCTTCAGCTCTTCTACTATTTGCCTGATGACAACATCCATTTTTCTTCATTTTGTATTTTATGTATGCTAGAATATATTTGTTTGAGTGAATAAACTCTCAAAGTATAACGTGCTTTTATAGGGGAAAAAATTGTGCATGGTATATGAAAAGGCAAAGAGGAATTTTAAACGTTGTCTAAAGAAAAGCGTGCATGAATGTGATAGGAATGTAATTATTAGACTAACACATAACTCCAACGGAATATAATTACTACCTTAATTGTCTTTAATATGTTCACTCCTGTGTACTATGCAATTAATGCTGAAACGTGCTCAAGTTTGTTGAATTCATTTTCAAATAACTTCAGCTTAATGTGCTGAAGTTATTTAGTTCGTTTCTAAAAACTTCAGCTCTTGATAAGCTGAAGTTTTTCTCCTACACTCGATAGGTTTTGTCCAAAAGATTTTTCAAGTGTGCTGAAGTTATTTAGTTCATTTCTAAAAACTTCAGCACTTGATAAGCTGAAGTTTTTCTCCTGCACTCGATAGTTTTGTCCAAAAGATTTTTCAAATAACTTCAGCTCAATGTGCTGAAGTTATTTAGTTCATTTCTAAAAACTTCAGCACTTGATAAGCTGAAGTTTTTCTCCTGCACTCGATAGTTTTTGTCCTAAAGCTTTTTCAAATAACTTCAGCTCAATGTACTGAAGTTATTTAGTTCATTTTTAAAACCTTCCGCAATTGATAAGCTGAAGTATTTGTCCTGGACTCGATAGTATTTGTCGTAAAGCTTTTGTTTATTTGGTGTATTTAGTGATGAGCTGAACTTTTTGTCCTACATTTGACACTTTTGTTATGACTTTTAACCAAAATTACAGTCTACAGGATTAGTTCGATTTGCATTGTTATAACTTTCAATGGGAGTTGGACTCCTGATTTCAAATACTTGGATCATGATACAAAACTTGTTCTACTTAATAAGGACATATCATTCAATACTTTCCTGAAAAAAATTAGTGAAGTTGCAAATATTGATTCAACCAGATATGCATTAAAAGTATGGTTTGATATCAAACTAAATACAAGCAAAGGAATGCTTGTAACTTCAGATGAAGAACTCAGTACGTGTATACATTTGCTTACAACTGATTCGCCCTACAAAAATTGCCATTTCGTCATCGAAAAAATACAACCTTTAGAATTTGCAGCTTTCAACCAGTCTCTTGCATATGCGATAGATTCAGAACCTAAGGCTGACTATCAACATGAAGTACGGCAGCCAATAATGGAAGTATACAACGGGCAACAACCTTCTAACATTACAGCTGCTTCTGAATATATAGTGCTGCCACAATTACCCCCTCCTCCAATAAATTCAAACCAGTTTGTCAATGAGCAAGAAGAAGAAGGACAGCTAATAATGCAAATTGACAACTAACACACAATCCAACAAAGCTTTTTGTTACCTTCTGCAATGATAAGCAACAACGAAGATGAAGTAAACATGGAGCTTATACCGATAACATCAGTTAGAATTGAAGACATTGCTGAAAGTTCTTCTACTTCTCAGAAATCAAGAAAAAGAGTGAGAAGAAAGGTGAAAGAATCTCCACCATGTAAAATACTTAGGCACGATGCGTTGCCTGAGGAAGTAAGAGTTGGATCAATCTTTGAGAACAAACAAAACATGACTAAATTTTTCTGCAGCTTGGAGATAAACAAGAAAGTTGAATTCACTGCTGTTAGATCATGTTCCAAGAGATACGAGCTAAAATGTATCGTGGACAAATGTGGTTGGAATGTACGTGCTGCCAGAATAAAACATTCCACACTGTTCAGGGTGATATAATATCATAACATCCATGAATGCTCGGTTGATGCAAGAAAATCAAATCAGAAGCATGCTACATCAAATTTTATAAGTGAACAAATTATAGAACATGTTCGAGACAAAAAGATAGAGGTTACACCAGCCTTTGTAGAAAATGAAATGAAAAAGAAATTTGGAATTGACATTGGTTATCACAAGGTATGGCGTGCTATTCAAAAAGTTGTTGCTTGCATAAGGGTAACACCTGAAGAGAACTACCAGATTCTTCCTTCATACCAACACATGATGGTGGACAAAAACCCAGGAACGTACACAAGCATAAAAAAGATGCTCAAAATAGGTAAGCAAAACAATACTAACCATCAACCTGAAGTTTCAAATGTTCCTATTCGAAAAAATTCACACCTTTTGATTTGTTTTTTTTGTGTTTCACTGTACAGATTTGCTTACATGTTCTTTGCTCTTGCGGCATCAGTAGCTGGTTGGTCCTACTGTAGACCCGTTATTGCAGTAGATGCAACGTTTTTAAAGTCCAAATATCGTGGAGTTCTATTTGTTGCTGTATCAAAGGATGCAAACAATCAAATCTTTCCTCTATGTTTTGGTGTAGCAGAATCAGAAAACAATGAGGCATACATTTGGTTCTTCGCGGAAATGAGAAAAGTAATTCAAGTCCGTCGTGAACTGGTTTTCTTGTCAGATAGAAACCAATCGATCGCAAATGGGATTAGAAAAGTTTTTCCTGAAGCTCACCATGGTATCTGCCTCTATCACTTTGAGAAAAATTTAAAGCAAAGACATGCAAAAGCCACGGTAATTGATGATAGGCTATAATTACGTATTTTAGTCGATTATTACACTCAAATTTACTGCACTTTGATTGAGTTTGAGCTTTAATCGCTAGTGTCTTGCACTAACTGTGTGTTTTATGCCTTGTAGGAGTGATTCCGAGCTATATAGATGTTATGGAATGAATTCAAGTGATTTGGAGATTTGAAGTCTGAGTAAAAGCTCGGGGAATTAAGCTGGAATCGTGTTTGGGGGTCAACGGATTATAATTAGAGCGACGAAGAATCGAGTAGGCATATTGCGAACTGTCTAGTAAAATGGATATAACTTTTTGCTCAGAACTCCATTTGATCTCCACAATATATGGTTGGAAAGCTAATGCAAAGGGCTAACACTTTCGTGTTTCACGTTTTTCTAAATTCCAAACGGAATGGGGCGAAACGCGTAAGATTTGAGCCAAAACGAACGAAACCGGGAAAAAGGGCCAGTTGGGCGCCACAGGCAGCGCCTGGCGCCACCTGTGGCGCCGAAAATAGTGTGCACAAATAATGGGGCTCCGTGGAGGGCGCCTGGCGCCGGGCTGGGCGCCGGTGGCGTGAAATGTGTCCTATTTCGCCTGGGACAAGGTTATTTCGGCCCTAGACCTACCCAACACGTATAAAAGCAAGACTAAACCTATTTTTGAAGGGGGAGACGCTTTTTGGAGAAAAAAAGACACGCTAGAAACATTGAGGAGCAAGAACAACTCGGAATTCTTCATCTTTTCCAGTATTTTCAATTAATCAAAACTTATGCAATTGTTTGATTACATTATGAATGGCTAAACACTCATTGTTCTGGGGTTGTGATTTAGCCATGAATATTGTTGTTTGATATTAGCTTGACCTTGATTATAATTCACCAATATATGGTTGTTTCTTCAATTCTGTGTTTAATTGCTTAATTGTCTGGCCAGCAGTGAGGTTCTATTTACTATCTATTCTATGCTTGGGAAAGCCGTGTTTAGATTAGAGAAGGATTGAAGAGATCGTGATATTAACCCTTAGGGGGAGCGGATTTGTGGTTAGGATAGGAATATACCTAGTCACCGTGCTTAATTAAATATCGTAATCTTAATGCGTTCTTAATAGATTGATTTCATAGGAATATAGGAGTTAATCTATTGAGAATAGGTGAGTAGTACTTCGGGAGAAGGCTATGAGAGCATTTATCGATTAATTATCAACCATGACTGAATTATATGAAGGGGAGAGTTAATTAGAACTCAATACGAATGGTGAATCGATCACAACCCTGGAATACTTGTCTCTACTGAATACACAACAATCAATTCGTTACTTGATAATTTAGTTATTATTTAGAATCGTAGTATAGTATAATCATATTATTGGACTTTGCTTTTAGCTAGATTGAATAACAATTTTAGTGATTTAGTGAGTAGTTTACACAAGTCTCTGTGGGTTCGACACTCAACTTATCATTATATTACTTGTCGACCACGTATACTTGCGTGTGCGTTTGGGAGCAACAAGTTTTTGGCGTTGTTGCCGGGGACTTGAATATAAACTACTTTCTAGTTTTTGCTTTAATTGTTTATTTCGTCTAGTTTAACGTTACTTGATTGTTGCTCTAATCTCAGAAACTTTGATTGAATGCGTAGAGTCAGAAGCCAGGACAGACTCAACGGCTTTGACCCCGAACCTGTGAAAACATTTCACAGGAGGTTGAGAGAAGCAAGGGATACAAACAATATTCAAGCACTCATTCAATTTCCTGTGAACATGGCAGAGGAGCAACATATGGCTGTTCAGGAGGTAGCAATGCCCAGTATTGCTAATGTTATCTCCAGTATAGTGAAGCCCAGGATCACTGGGCACTTTGAGATGAAACAGACCATGATCCAGCTACTTCATGCACACGGGCAGTTTATGGGTCTTCCGCACGAGGATCCACAACAGCATATTCTGAACTTCTTGGAGATTAGTGACACTTATATCACTAACAGGGTCACTCCAGATTATGTGAGGCTCACACTTTTTCCATTCTCTCTGTTGGGCGAAGCTAAGTGATGGCTAAAGGCAGAACCAGTTAATTCCATTACATCATGGAATGATTTGGCAAGAAAATTTCTGGCAAGGTTCTTTCCATCAGGCAAAACTGCAAAGATCAGAAGTGAGATAGTTGCCTTCAAACAGAAAGCAGGAGAATCTTTATACTCAGCTTGGGAAAGATTCAAGGGGCTACTCAGAGACTGTCCTCATCACAATCAGACGAATGAAGTGTTAGTTCACACTTTCATAGAAGGGCTCCATCCCCAAACAAAAATTGTAGTAGATGCTGCAGCTGGAGGACAAGTATTGGAGAAAAGCTTTTATGAAATTTATGCATTATTGAACAAATTCTCCAAAAGCAATCCGGATTGGCAAGGAGAGATGGGTAGGAATATGGTGCAAAAATCACCAGGGGTTCTCGAATTAGATGTTGTCTCAGCATTTTCAGCACAGGTCTCTACGCTGACCAACCAAGTCAATCAGATGACCATGATCATTAACAAGCAACAAGCCCAGCCAGTGCAACAAGTTCAAATATTTTGTGAAGTATGAGGAGAGGGTCACATGAGCAATCTATGCCCGGCAAATCCAGAGTCTGTATATTTTGTGGGTAATGCAAATCGAGGCCAAACAAATCAGTATGGGGACATTTACAACCCCAACTGGAGGAATCACCCAAACTTCTCCTGGGGTGGAAATCAAGGCAATCAGAATCAATACCGGCCTCAAGCACCTCAACAACAATCCAGACCACCTCAGGATGAACAACAAGCTAGCCTTGAGGAGATGATGAAGAAATTGATGGCCGACCAGCAAGCCCTCAATCAGAAATTGATAGCAGATCAGCAAGCCTTCAATCAGAAATTAATAGCAGATCAACAAACTTTCAATCAGAAAATAATGGCTGATCAGCAGGCTCAAGCCACAGCACTGAGAAATTTGGAGCACCACGTGGGCCAACTTGCCAGAGCCCAAAATACCAGACCAGCAGGGGCTCTTCCTAGTGATACTGAGCCCAATCCTAAAGCTCAAGTCAATGCGGTTACCTCGAGAAAT